AGTAGGCTAGTTGAAAATAATATCATAAAATCATATATTTATTTTTTTGCTTATATAAAATATATAATAATCAATATAAAAGAACAACAATATAATGTAAACTATTCTCAAAATTATAACCTTAACCGATAAATTCAAGGACCATATAAATAATTAACCTACTAATTAAATCAAGAATAAGTAAATAAAGAGATTAAGAACGTACCAAATGTGACATTCATTGAAAAATTGCAACGGAAAGTCAGGAATTGCGGAGATAGAGATTTAATTGTGTATTTAAAGAACTTATTAATCTTTTCTTGAGTAAGAAGCACAAATGCTAAATTATATAAGGTAAATGGTCTTTTTATTTAAAGAATAGAATAAAGGGGGACTGGAGATAGAACTAATATAATTTTTAGCATAGAACAAAACTATTATTTACTACCTCTCCTCTAATAAATATACATTAAATAATAATATGTATTGAAATTGAGTAGGCTATAAGCATGAGTTTACAAAAGAATAGATCTATTCACAAACCTATTTTTACTTTCAACACAGCCTTATTAATATTTTGTCAGTGATCATTTTCAATTCATTCGATCCAAACAATTGACAATTAAAAAAAATATGTAAGAAGTAAAAATGAATACATAGATAACACTATCCTTATAGAAAACCTTCATGAACTACAACCCACCTTAACCTTGTGGGTGGCTACGCCACTACTACAAACGCATGCATGCTCGAATTTAGCAAGATAAGAAGACAGCTCATCCTTCCACCTAAACACAGCTCTGTCGACCTCCTAATGGCACAGCTGACTGACGTGGCACCCACTTCTTCTCTGCCCATCCGACGTGGCAAATTTGGAATACAAACTGAACTTTACGGTAACGTATGATCGAGAGAGGGCGATATGGTAATTTAGCACAGTAGAATTAGGTGATATCCCTAGGTTTAGATGAACAACTAAATCCATCAAAATCTAACCCAGTAGAATTGCTTTAAGTTTGTGCCATCCTCCATGGATGATTGGGACATACAAACTGGGGATGTCCTAATCGAAGGGTTTTAATATATGTTTGTGTTCTTGGTGAATAGCAGGTGATCTGAAACAGGCCTATATAGTTGGTGCAACGTCGTCTATGATCAACACCCCATATTAGTTATGGACAATTGTGACTTGTGACTAGACTAGCTAATTGGTCTCCTACCAAATCTAAGCTAGGGTTTGTCAAATAATAATATCATGATATCAAATGATCTAGAAAACTAGCTAGTTTGTCATCCTCAAAAATGATTTCTTTCTCATGTTTTTTTACAAGAAGCGATAGCAATTTTTCATTAAAATACAAAAGCAAATACAATGTTGTAACATGAGTTCATATTCTTCAGTAACCAAATTACTGATCTAAAGATAAACAAACAAGTGTAATGAGTAATCTCTTAACTGGCTACAACCACAAACATCACCGAAACTAGCACAAGCACCAATAGAACAAATTTGTCACAAAACAGAAGACGAGATAGACCTATACTAACGCATATATAATGACATACTAGCAACTAAGACCACATCAAACCATTGCTAATAAAGATCAAATCACGATAATATAATGTTAGGTTAGATTTTAACTTTGGTCATTTGTGGATACCTTCGGCATATAATATTGCAAGTGCAAGTGCATGATAATATAATTAATAAAAGGACCAAAATAGGAATTTAACATGACACCTAGATTCAATGTTAGCAACCTAACCAAACACACTAGCTAAACTAACTAATGTTAAAACGAAATCAAAGAGCATCACCAACAACTTCTCTAAAATAGGTTGTTTTGGCTACTTTAACGTAAAAGGCAGCAATAACAATTCCAACATACTAGTTATTTTAGTTTTTAGTATTGTGGCTCGCTATATTTAGGGAGGAGGAGAGAGAAATTAACTGGCTAGCTAAACGTTTAAAATTAGGAAGTTTTAGTGAAAAGGGTTTGAGCCAACAAATATTTAACCAAAAACCATCTCAAAATGTTATTGAACCAAAAGGGCTTAAAGTTTAATAAAAAATTATCCAAAACTATTGTCCAAGAGTTAAACTTACAAGCCCAACCCACTACAAATCTATACTTCCATAAATACTCATAAATGATTTGATATTATCTTGACTCTTCACCAACCTCAACCCAACACGAAACCGTTATAATAACTTCCTGTCTTCCTATCAAATCGAATTTCCCCCATTTAAAAACAACCAAATCAAAGTTGAAAAAGAAAGCATTCATCGGAACAAAGCCACCTAAACAAGTTCAAAGAAGTTTAATGGCAGAAACCAGCGAAAAAGTGTATGGAAAAAAAAAACCAAAACATAAAACTATTTCTAGATAACCTAAAACATAACACTGTTTCTGGAAAAAAAAAATCAGACAAACATTGTATCTGGAAAGAAAAGAACCAAAATCCAGAAACAATGACTTAAATTCCATAAACAGTGACTTAGATTCCCGAAACAGTGATTTAGTTCCAGAAACAGTCTATGTTTTAACTTTTGACTGTTTCTTTTCTTTCATGCATCAGTTGATTATATTTAAAAAACATGGTGCTTATTTTGTTTTGAATTCAAATACAGTGAATTTCACTATTTCTTTTCTAGCTTACATTTAAGAAACAGTGTGTCTATTTCACTTGGATCCATAAACAGTTACTTAGATTTCAGAAACAGTAACTTAGATTCCAAAAACAGTGACTTAGATTCTAGAACCAGTTTATTTTTACAGTCCAGAAACAGTGATCCGTCATTATTATTGAATAACATGCAGATCTCAAATTTATTTTCTAGAGAAACAAACGATGAAAATTGAAAAACAGTATCTCGAATATATTATGAAGAACAACGACGTTTACATTTCAACGAAATAATACAAAATATAAATTAAATAGCATGAGGATCTATATTTTTGTTTCAAAGAAAAAGAAGAAGGTCTGCAAACGAACGATGAACTCCATTAACGACGAAAATCTGGAACTCAAACTAAAAAAGTTAAGGGTAAAATTGAAAAATCATAATGTATTATAATTGGGCAATTTTTAGTTGGACTACTTTAATATGTGTAACATCCCACATCACCCAGGAGAGTGGATCCTGTAAGCCTTATATGTATATTCTCATCTCTACCTAGCACGATGTATTTTGAGAGCTCAGTAGCTTTGGGTTCTGTAAGAACTCGGAAGTTAATCGAGTTCGCGCGAGAGCAATCCCATGATGGGTGACCCACTTGTAAGTTCTCGTGTGAGTTCCCAGAAACAAAACTGTGAGGGCGTGGTAGGGGCCCAAAACGGACAATATTGTGTTACGGTTGAGTCTAGCCCGGAATGTGACAATGGGCCTTGTACTAATCATTAAACAAAACTTATAACATGATTTTTTTTATTAAAACTAAAACTTTTTAAACTATTTTCATTAGTTTTCCTTTAAAATTATTATGTCACTATGCGCTCATGCTCCAATCCTTGTGTTCGATTCTCGAACATACGAAAGAACAACGAGATCTTAAGGCGGAGTAACAAGATTTAATGGCAGAAAAACTAGATATGATGACAAAGCAACAGAGCGATGAGATTTGAATTTCAAGATTGTTGTCCGATTAATAAAACGACCGAAAAATGGGTACTAACTAATTCAACATGAGTTAGTTAAGCCTATGTGATTCCATGTAGTCAACCACCCTAATTCATAGTATGGGGAAATAAGTTAAAAACAAACCTACTTGTTTGACATGAGAAAAGTGAAAAGGTTAGTAGTTGCCAAAGACACTAACCCAAAAATTATTTATGGTTTTAATAATGGAAGATCAAATTTGCAAATGCGGGAGCTTTTACATATCAATTATATATGGAGAGATTATATTCACACACCTTAAATTACTTCTCCAATACTTTTTTAATTTTTTAAATATTTTTCTATCAAGTGTTAGATGTGTGTAAAAAATATTAAAAAATTAAAAGGATGTGAGATAAGTAATTTGGGATGTGTAAATATAATCACTCTTATACGTGATGGGGTTTATTAACTTCTTCACATGCTCCCTAACAATACACATCACAAGTCTTATTAAAACTTAAGAAAACTCAAACCAACCTAACAAACATTGGGCAAGAAGGAGGTCAAGGATAGTGTCATATCCACCCAAAGCGTTCAATGTCAGCAACTTAACCAAAACACTAGCCACCACGACATCGCTATGTCGAATACGATAGTAGGGTAAATTCACTGAGGCCCATCAAACGATAGAAAAATATTTACATACATCCAGTTACAATCACTGCCTTGACATTTTAAGTCATCAATAATGTAATGTCGCGTTATTGGTAAACAATTATAGAGTTTTTTACTCGAAGCAGTTCTCTCACCAAATACATCATATATTTGATCAACCAGAGTTCAATAGGTGCGGAGAAGCTTTCCTCTTTAAATTATGACTCTGCTGTAACTGTTATTTTATATGATGCATTTTGCCTTTTGAAATTGAGTACATTTGGCAGTGATTCCAACAAGGCTTAGTATAAGTATGGTCACTCGTACTACCTAATTGGCAGGAAAGTCCAATATTGTTATAACGAATTAAAACATACGTACCATATTAATTAAACTGAAATAAAAACATACGTACCATATTAGTTAAACTGAAATACACGAGTTCAAATTGAAATTCGAGCAGAAACACATAATCAAAAATGCATTTCACAGATAGGCCTCGTTTGGTACGTGAGGTGGGACGGAACATAGTGGGACAAAAGTAGTTCGTTCTACTCTGGTCTGCATACCAAACGTAGCACAAAAAAACTCCGTTCCATCTCATTCCATCTCGTCCCATTCTGTCCCCGTCTACGTACCGACCACGCCCATAGTGTCAACATGTTTTCACATGACAATATTTGCATGGCAACGAACTTGTCGCTTCAGTTGATTTAGAGCATTTACCTTGAACCCGAGATTTTGAGCACGACTACTCCGTAATATGGCTTGTACAACAATCGTTATGCTTTGTGTGGGCCTTATGGACTAGGCCTATATACCTTCACCAACTGGCCCATTTACATATTCGTTGTTTTGGGCTCTTCTTGTATTTTTGCCTTAAACCCCAAACAAAGCACCGAATCGAGAGAAGAAAATGGCGAGGAACTCAGGAGTAGCCAAGGCACGGCAATCGCAGCAAGTTCTGCGCAGCGCTTCTTCATCGTCACAACCTTCCTTCCAATTCTTTCCAAACCCTGGCTTCTTCAATCCACACCGCACCATCTCCGCCACCCACAGCAGCTCCTTCCACCTCCAAACCCTTCTCCAATTCCCTCCATCACTTCCCAAACCCTCACTTTCTCCAACTCCGGCCTCTCTCCTCGCCCTCAGGTACTCCAATTTCTGTTATTGTTGTTGGAAGCTAACCAGCTCCTGGAGTCGGGGAGTCGAAGGCAGCAAGATACTCCCGAGCAAAAGGATGTCATCTGCATCGAAGAAGAAGAAAGAAAATGAAGGGCTCTAGTCTCCAACGGCTAGTTTTGTTTTTTAAATGTTTGTGTAAGTGTGTGAGTGACAAGTGTACACTCCAGATTAAATCACTTAACCCCAAATGAAGGGTTAGGATGTAATCTGGAGTAGTAAGGCTTAATGGTTGTTAAAGCCTCTTGTCAATCACCTTTTTAGATAAGTATGGGTGATGGAAATGCACCATACTCTTGTGTAATGTTCACTCTACTTATTCAATCAAGTCTGCTGCATTATTACACAGCAGAAATCAATCTCCAATTTTTCCTTTTCTTGTTTTTCAATTCTCCCAAGAAACCGATTCAAACACTCAATCAAAAACACAAAACAAACAAATTCTATCATGGCCTCAGAGCTTTGTTACTGATCTTACAACTTTTGGGGCGTAATCTGTGCAAGATAAGATCTTTGGGAGCACCAACGTAGTGTCTTCTATAACAACAATCAACAAACAATTCTGGAAATGAAAGGATCCAGCAGTAGCAGTGAGCTAAAAGCTCCAGTCTTTGATGGGGAAAATTATGATTTTTGGAGAATAAGAATGACAACCATTTTCAAATCCTATGATCTATAGGATATGGTTCAACATGGGTATGAACTACCTGAGATGGAGATCGATGCTCTAGAGGAGGATCTCACAGAAACACAACTCAAAACACTGAAGCAGAATCGGATGGAGGATGCTAGAGCACTTGGAATCATTCAAGGTGCTGTCTCAGACACCATTTTCCGAGGATAGCAAATGAAGAGACTGCAAAGGGAGCTTGGGAAGTTTTACAGCAAGAATACAGAGGAGACACCAAAGTTAGAAAGGTAAAACTTCAGTCCCTTAGAAGAGATTTTGAGTATACAAGAATGAGGGAAAATGAGCTGCTAAAAGACTACTTCACTAGGCTGTTTGATGTTGTAAACAAGATGAAACATATGGTGAGGAACTGCCTAATGAAAGAATTGTCCAAAAACTGTTGATTAGTTTGACTAAACCCTATGATTCAATAGTGAGTGTTATAGAAGAAACCAAAGACACTGAAACTCTCAGTGTACAAGAAGTGATGGCATCCTTAAGAGCTTTTGATCAAAGGCTCGAGAGGCATGCTGACTCTGCACCTGAGAAAGCCTTTCAAACACTCAATGTTGGATCTAGTAGTCAAGCCAGTGCAAGCAATCAGAAACCACAGTGGAAGGGCAAAAGCAAGAAATGGGAAGGAAAAAGGGTATCACAACTCAAAACCTAACCAAGGCAGCAATACAAATGTAGGTCCAAGAACCAAGCAACAATGCAAGCACTGTGATAAATTCCACCTTGGAGAGTGTTGGTTCAAGGACAAGCCTAGATGCCACAAATGCAACAGGTTTGGGCACATTATGAAGGACTGCAGATCAAAGAATGTGCAACAAGTAAACTGTGCAAATCAAGTGGAAGAAGAAGCAAATGTGTTTTGTGCTTTCAATGCAAAAATGGAGAGAAACAATGAAGTGTGGTACATTGACAGTGGCTGCAGCAACCACATGACTGCACATGAGTCTTTACTTATTGACATCGACACCAACTTCACTGGAAAAGTGAAAATGGGAGATGGAAACATTGTCAAAGCCACTGGAAGAGGAACTCTGGTTATCAACACCAAGAAAGGAAGAAGATGTATAAGGGAGGTGATGCTAGTGCCTGGATTGGATGAAAATCTACTTAGTGTGGGTCAAATGATGGAGCATGGCTATTTCCTACTCTTTGGGGGAACTGTGGTTGAAATCTATGATGACAGATCCCTATCAAACTTGGTGACCAAAGTGGAAGTGAAAAACAGAAGCTTTCCACTTGTACTGAAGTACTTAGAATAAGTGGCAAAGAAAGCAAGTGTGACAAGTTCTATGAAACTATGGCACAAGAGACTTGGTCATTTAAACATGACAAGCTTACAAAATCTGCAAAAGGATGAAATGGTGCAAGGTATACCAAAAATGGATCAATGCAATGAAATCTGTGAAGGGTGTGTGTTTGGCAAGCATCACAGAGATTCATTTGAAGCTGGAAAGGCTTGGAGGGCAACAAAGCCACTCGAATTGATTCACTCAGATGTGTGTGGACCAATGAGAACAACAACAATCAGTGGAAACAGGTATTTCCTAACCTTCATTGATGATTATTCACGGATGTGTTGGGTGTATTTCATGAGGTTCAAGTCTGAGGTATTCACAATATTCAAGAAGTTTAAGGCATTGGTGGAATTACAAAGTGGATACCAAATCAAAAGACTAAGAAGTGATAGGGGAGGTGAGTACACCTCATATGAGTTCAATGTATTCTGTGAAGATGTAGGGTTGGAGAAGCAACTCACTGTGGCATATTCACCACAACAGAATGGGATTGCAGAAAGGAAGAATAGGACTATAGTCGAAATGGCTAAGTCTATGATGCATGAGAAGAACATGCCTTATAAATTTTGGGGTGAAGCTGTGAACACCTCAGTGTATCTATTGAATAGGTGTCCTACTAAGGCATTGGAGAAGAAGACTCCATTTGAAGTGTTCAGTGGAAGGAAGCCTTCTGTGAAGCATCTGAGAGTGTTTTGGCTCAGTGTGCTACAATCTCATCCCTCATCAACTAAGGCACAAGTTGGAGAAATCAAGTAACAAGGGTGTTTTTGTAGGCTATGGTACTAGTGAGAAAGGATACAGAGTTTATAATGTGTTGACTCAAAAGATAATCCTATCAAGGGATGTTATCTTTGATGAAGACTCAATGTGGAACTGGGATACAATGGTAGAGGAAAAGGACAGTGTCTCTCTACAAATTGACCTAAACAAAAGGCAAACAAGGGAGCCTATAGAGACCTCAGTTCAAGAAGAAGTCACAGATAATGGTGACATACAAGGGGACTCCACAGCAAGCTACTATGAGTCCACAATCAAGTCAATCACAGACAACAACTCCTAGTTCAACTCCAGTAAGATTGAGAAATCTGGATGAGATTTATGCTACATGTAATTACTGTGTAGTAGAACCAGAAACGTATGAAGAAGCTGAGAAAGATAAAGCTTGGAAGAAAGCAATGAAGGAAGAGCTTGAAATGATAGAAAAGAATGACACTTGGGAACTTGTAAATCGACCAAGTGAGAAGCCTGTGATTGGAGTAAAATGGGTGTACAAAGTGAAGCTAAATCTAGATGGTTCTGTGCAAAAGAACAAGGCCAGGTTAGTGGCCAAAGGTTACTCACAGAAACCTGGTGTAGACTTCAATGAAACCTTTGCTCCAGTAGCAAGGTTAGACACCATAAGGACTTTGATAGCACTAGCAGCCAAGAAGGGTTGGAAGCTGCATCAATTGGATGTTAAATCTGCATTTCTAAATGGAGTGCTAGAGGAGGAGGTGTTTGTGGAACAACCTCAAGGGTTCACAAGTCAAGAGTTTCCAGAAAAAGTGTACAAGTTAAGGAAGGCTCTTTATGGCCTAAAACAAGCTCCAAGAGCTTGGTACAGTGAGATTGATTCCTATTTCATTGAGAAAGGATTTCAGAAAAGTCTTAGTGAAGCTACACTCTACACCAAGACAGAAAGCAACAACAAGACACTCATTGTCTCAATCTATGTAGATGATGTTGTCTACACTGGAAATGATGCTGCAATGATGGAAGAGTTCAAGGAAGAAATGATGAAGAGGTATGAGATGACTGACCTAGGCCTCTTGCATCATTTTCTTGGCATTGGGGTAATTCAAAAAACAAGTAGCATCTTTATTCATCAAAAGAAGTATGCTGAAACTTTGCTTGAGAAGTTTGGTTTGAAGGGCTGCAAACCAGTTTCTACACCCTTAATTGCAAATGAGAAGCTCAAGAAGGAGGATGGAAGTGAACCTGCAGATGCTAGTCTCTATAAAAGCATTGTTGGCAGTCTATTGTATCTAACTGCAACAAGGCCGGATCTGATGTTCTCAGCAAGCCTACTTTCTAGGTTTATGCAGAATCCTAGCAAGATACATATGGGCACAGCTAAGAGAGTGCTAAGATATGTACAAGGAACTCTTGATTATGGTATCAAATATGAGATGGGAAAGTCATCTATTCTAATTGGATTCTGTGACAGTGACTGGGGTGGCAGTGAGGATGATAGTAGAAGCACATCGGGCTATGCTTTCACTTTCGGATCAGGGGTATTTTCATGGGCCTCTGTGAAGCAACAAAGTGTTGCACTGTCCACAGCCGAGGCAGAGTATGTGAGTGCATCAGAAGCTACAGCTCAAGCTATTTGGCTAAGGTTCATACTTAAAGATTTTGGCGAATTGCAAGTTGAAGCCACACCACTTCTGTGTGACAACACCTCTGCAATTGCCATGACTAAAAACCCAGTATTTCATCAGAGAACAAAACACATCAAGAGAAGATATCATTTCATCAGAGAAACATTGCAGGACAACACAATCAAGCTAATCTATTGCAGCACAGAAGATCAGGTCGCAGACATATTCACAAAAGCACTACCGAAGGAGAGATTCAATTACCTGAGGGGTTTGCTCGGATTGACTCCCAGAAGCAGTTTAGAAGGGAGTGTTGGAAGCTAACCAGCTCCTGGAGTCGGGGAGTCGAAGGCAGCAAGATACTCCCGAGCAAAAGGATGTCATCTGCATCGAAGAAGAAGAAAGAAAATGAAGGGCTCTAGTCTCCAACGGCTAGTTTTGTTTTTAAATGTTTGTGTAAGTGTGTGAGTGACAAGTGTACACTCCAGATTAAATCACTTAACCCCAAATGAAGGGTTAGGATGTAATCTGGAGTAGTAAGGCTTAATGGTTGTTAAAGCCTCTTGTCAATCACCTTTTTAGATAAGTATGGGTGATGGAAATGCACCATACTCTTGTGTAATGTTCACTCTACTTATTCAATCAAGTCTGCTGCATTATTACACAGCAGAAATCAATCTCCAATTTTTCCTTTTCTTGTTTTTCAATTCTCCCAAGAAACCGATTCAAACACTCAATCAAAAACACAAAACAAACAAATTCTATCAATTGTTGTCGCCATTGTTCAAAGTTTCAATTTTTAAATTTCGGGTTTTGGAATAGCTCAGTAACTTGAATAGTTGATTGAATTTCAGGTGCCTCTAATATTGTTGTCATTCAGGCTGAGGATGAATTTGGCAGCGCAATCAGCCAAGCTAAAGCTAATTTTTTTTTCCTGGGTTTTTTCCGGTTTTCGGAATTTTTTTTGTTTTGAGAAAACTTGTCATATTTTCATACAAATTGTCCGATTTATATATAAAATTTCATACAGATGGAGCTGTGCCAGCACTTTTCTATTTCACTGCAGTGTGGTGCGGGCCTTTTTAGTTCGAAAGACGTTTTCTTTTAAGCAATGAAGTCATTGGCACGAAAATGTGGCGTAATAATGTGCTTTGAACTTATGATTGGTACTTTGGTGTGATCTTCTTGTGCAGGCAGGTTCATATCTCCAATCATTGGAGAGTTGAGTGAGCAATACCCACGCGTAACAACGTATAAGGTTGACATCGACGAGGTGCGCATTCGAATTGGAATTTAGTCTTCTGTAAACTTGGATCATTTTGTTTTTGGGAACCATTTTAGTTCTTTTGTGGACTACTTAAATCCCAGCTTAAGATTCAGGTCAAAACTCAGAAGAACTCTGAAGTGTTGCTAATTAGTTTCATTTGGTTTCTGATCTGTTGTGTGCATTTTGGTGCAGCCTACATTCCAATTCTTTAAAACGGGAAGAAGGTGGCTCAAGTTGTTGGTGCTAATGTTGCTCGCTTGAGAAACACTTTTGGAAGTTTGGAAAATACGACGTAGTATTGGAAAACAATATTGTCAGGTCCTAAGTTCTTGTCTTGATAACGGACAAAATGATTCGAACTTGTGACCTCGTGTAATATTATGAAGGAAAATAATTAAAACAACAATTTCAGGATTATTACATGTCCTGGAAGCTACAACCGCAACAACTCCGTGGTTGACGTATTATTGTAGCACATCTCATTGAATACACTTGTTGATTGATTAGGAAGAAGAAATTGAGCTAAATATGATGGCGTCAAAATATAATTTAGCCATAAAAAATCCAAACACATTATAATTTTTTTTATCATTTTTGCTCCCTAATATTAACAAACGAGATTATTCAAACGTGTTTGATACCTTGAACACTTTGAACAAGGAAATGTCCAACTTAATGTCGGCCAAGTCTAAAATTGTGAACTTATATACTCTTCCGCGGAAGGAAATTATGAGATTGGCTTAGAAGTTGACTTATATACTCTTCCACTCGAACAAGGAAATCCAGTTGATACACGCTGCGTGGCACTATTTTCTTTTAAGCTCTCATTGGTTTGTTATATATATGAGTTAGAGCACACTTGTTGTGTTCATCTGCAACCAACTGGGGAATATATAGACTGATTTCTCCTATGGATACCTTGCTTGCAAACACCTTATTCAATCCCCTCAATATTTCTCTCTCTTTTCTCATTTTGCTTTTGGCATCTACGTATCTACCCACTGCCATAATCTGCTTGGGTGATATCGGAGTTCCGAGCACTAGCAATGTGAAACCATTATGCATTGAGGAAGAAAGGCGGGCACTTGTCAGCTTTAAACAACATCTTGTTGATCCTTCTGGTAGGCTTTCCTCTTGGGCGGGTCATGATTGCTGTCAATGGGAAGGAATTTCATGCAACAACAGCACCGGCCATGTTGTGAAGATGGACCTCCGGAATCCATATCCAGATTCCCGTTCTTATGAAGAGTGGGACGAGTCGGCTTATGAAAGGTCTTTCCTGGGAGGTAAGATAAATGCTTCTTTGTTGAGCTTGAAACATTTAAAATACCTGGACCTCAGCTGTAATGAGTTTCAGGGCATTCGCATTCCGATGTTCTTTGGGGAGCTTGAAAGTTTGCAATATCTCAATTTCTACTTTGCGTCATTTGAGGGAGAGATTCCCCCCTCTCTTGGTAACCTGTCAAGCCTGAATATTCTTGATCTCGGGATGAATTCCCACTTGTCTTCCAGAAACTTGACTTGGCTTTCTCACCTCTCTTCCCTAAAATACCTTAATCTCAATTACATGGACCTTAGCCGCACAGGAGCCAGTTGGGCATATCATATTAACATGCTTCCTTCATTGTTAGAGTTACACTTATCTTCGTGTCAAATTGAAAGCATTCCACTCTCACTCCAAAGGGTTAACTTCCTTCCACTCTCACTCCAGAGGATTAACTTGACATCACTTTTGGTCCTTGATATGTCGAATAACGGTATTAAATATTCTTCACTTCCCAATTGGTTTTTTAATCTTACTAGCCTCATAACACTTGATCTATCGAGGAATAATTTCAGTAGTCCTTTTCCAAATGAATTTGCAAACTTCAAATCTCTAGAACACCTTGATTTATCGAGAACAGGCTTAAATGGTCAAATTCCGAAAGTTAGTGGAAATTTGTGCAAGCTAAAGGTCTTAAGCCTTTCTGGCAACAAGTTTGATGGTGGGGGGATTGAAGAGTTTTGGAGGAGCGTCTCAAATTGTCCAAATAATTCATTAGAGTTGCTAGATTTGTCTTCTTGTGAGCTGGAAAGCCAACTGCCGACCTCCTTGGGAGTGTTAAAAAGTTTGCAGAATCTCTACCTTGGTGGAAACTCTTTGTGGGGCTCAATTCCAGATTCCATCGGAAACTTGTCGTCCTTGAAATCATTGTACCTCTCTTCTAATAAGATGAATGGCTCCATTCCAAAAAGTCTGGGACAACTCTATGAGCTAGTTGACCTCGATCTGTCTAATAATTCATGGGAAGGTACTCTAACGGAAGCCCATTTCAGAAACCTCACGAGATTACAAGATTTTCAAGTAGGAATTCAAGTCACAAACGCACCCATGTCCCTCAGTTTTTGACGTGGCTTCTGTTTGGGATCCTCCTTTCAAGCTCCAGTCAATTGCGATCATAAACTGTCGGGTAGGTCCTGGTTTTTGGGTATGGCTTCAATCTCAAACTGAACTGATCCATGTCATTCTTAGTGGTATTGGAACCTCTGAAGATTTCATCCCAGAGGAATGGTTGTTGAAGATGTCTTCCCAACTCAAATATTTGGATTTATCTAACAACCAATTACGTGGAAACTTTCCATCCCGTTTGAAATTTCCAAATTTAGGGTCTATTGATTTGAGTCATAATCAATTGGAGGGCCCACTCCCACTTTGGTGGTCCACTAGTGTTCGATTCCCTTTATCTTGATAGGAATCTATTTTCCGGGCCAATTCCCTCCAATATTGGACCAAATGATGCCCAAGTTTGTACATTTTGGATCTTTCTGATAATCATTTGAATGACACTATTCCTCCCTCTATCTGCAACATGCAAAACTTGGAATACTTGTCCATAAGGAGCAATCAATTTTCTGGGGAAATGCCTCATGCATGGAGTGTGGGAAGCAAAATTTTGCTTTCTAGATGTTGGTCACAACAATCTCTCTGGTAATATTCCCACTTCATTGGGGGTATTAAGTTCACTGGAAGTATTAAAGCTCAACAACAACAATTTTGAGTGGTGTAAATTCCTGATTCCTTGCAAAATTGTTCTGGTTTGAAGAGTCTTGATCTTGGACACAACAAGTTATTTGGGAACATACCTCTTATGGATAGGAGGATCAAATGTATCCTTGTTGTATAGGCTACAATTACGATCCAACGTTTTTACAGGACATATTCCCCAGCAACTGTGCAATCTTCGGAACCTTCACATCCTCGATCTTAGGTCACAATAACCTTTCAGGTACTATTCCCAAGTGTTTGGATACTTTAACTTCGCTGGTCAACAATAATTCTAATGACTTCAGTATGGGTCTCTTGAGCAAGCCACACTAACACTAAAAGGAGCGGAGCTTGTGTACAACACGACTCTAAGACTTGTAAAGAGCATTGATCTTTCATCAAATAATTTACAAGGTGAGATTCCTGAAGAAATAAGCAACCTCTTCCTGTTGGGCACCCTGAATTTGTCCATGAATCAATTGACTGGAAAGATCCCCTCCAAGATCGGAAACTTGCATTTGCTCGAAACTCTTGATTTGTCACACAACAACCTTTCAGGACATGTTCCTCAAAGCTTGTCATCTTTAACCTCTTTGTCCCACTTGAACTTGTCTTATAACAACTTGACTGGAAGAATTCCTTCTGGAAGCCAGCTTCAAACGCTCAATGATTTGTCCATTTATATGAACAATCCATCGCTATGTGGCGTTCCTCTCTCAACTAATTGCCCTGGAGATGACACTTTCCCAGCTAAGGATGCGAATGACAAGAATGAAGATGGAAATCATGATAAGTTGTGGTTCTATGTCAGTGTGGTACTTGGCTTCATCGTAGGTTTTTGGGGCATTTGCGGCACATTGATCTTAAAGACATCGTGGAGATATGCCTATTTTCAATTCTTTGACAACATCAAAGATAAGGTAGCACTAGCAATTGCATTGAAAGTGGCTTGTTTCAAAAGAATTGTTTTTGGAGTTTGATAGTACTATGTGTCTGTGATGTTTTCCCCTTTCTACGTTGTATTTTTGGTACTTGCAATTTATGTAATAAATAAAGGAATTGTATCCATCTTTCAATAGATGTTTCCACAAGCAACTTTATGTATTATGATTTTCTCATGTGTAAAAACCTGGAATTAATAAAAACTAATGTTTTTTATTTCTACTAATTATCGATAGCATAATACAAAATATGTATATGGCCGTCATCCATTCAATGTTCACTACAAGAAAATGTGCTTGTAGGGTACCATTTCTTATCAGTGGCTTTGTGAACCTATGTGTCAATATTGTCTAATTTTAGTGCCTTTAACCTTTGTAACACCGTCATTGGTGTCAACTATAAAAATTTTGACACCGAAGTCATATTGGTTTGTTTTTCAATTAGGATTGATTTTCTTGTTTGTTTGTTTGTTAGTTAGTTTTTTTTTTTTTTTTTTTTTTTCCTCTCCCATTTTTCTGTCAAAAATAGTTCAATATTCATTTATTACTACTATTCCACAGATATTTTCACATCCATATAAATATAAGTTCAAATTTTCTGCACTAAAAACCCTTTGTGCCTTATATTATACGTCAGTAACACGTGTTCTTTTCACTAAATTTATCTTTAGTTTTAAAAAAAAAATTATTGAAGAGATAAGATGAATGGCTAGGTGACACTCATGGAGATAGGGCATAGAGAGGCTACAGAGGGTTTTGAGTGCAGAAGATTTAAACTTTGCATAGGAAGGAAAGAAGGAGAGGGAGGGAAGTTGCTTTTATTGTAATTTGATTCAATTTGGAAACCAAAATCCAATTTAACTCCATGTATGTCGATCCTGTCAGAGTTTAAAAGGAAGATGAAAGTGCTTTTATTTTAATCTGATTCACAATTTGTGGAAATGAAGAGAAGGAAAGAGCGATGTAGGGTAATAAAGCAGACCAGGATCCTCTCCTGAGCAGATGGAGAGGATCCTCCTGACCAGGCTCATCGGGTCGTTCATTTTTTATCAAACGGCTATAATTATTATAACTTTTAGAAAATAAATAAAAATAACAGAAATATTGATTATTTAATAATGAAAAATACTTACAACACAAAATGAAATAAATGAAATAATTACAGGAATTAAAATGATACTAACTTAATTGAATCACAGATAGAGGCTAGCGCACAAGCTATGTCCTTTGAACAGTATTTCCGTCCCACTCTTGTACTTGTGGTTCTACGACGTCCGCTCGACCTGGATACAGCCATCTAATTCTACAACCCTCATTGAATTATAGAATTCTGGCGAATTGCTTTGTGTGTTTACTCTATGGGATTTTGTTGGAAGAGAAAGAGGAAGGAAAAAAGATGATTCTATTTGAAAATTGAATCTATAAGTATACAGGTTGTTTCATACACTTTCAAATACATGTTGAACGTATTTGAAACTGCTCAACTTTTTCTAAAAGTTGCGTCTCTTAATCAAAACAGTTTTAATTAATATGTTAATTAAAAAGTCAATTCAAAATTAAAATTAATGAACTCTGATTATTAATATTAATTATATTAGACCATATTACACAAATCTAATCCACACAACCATAAACCTCAAACCTTCGATCCTTTTCCAAATAGTCTAAATCCTATGAACTAGTATAAAGGACTAGACCTATATAAAGGTCATTGCGAACCACGATTTGCCCGATGTGGGACTTTGAATCTCAAAACCTCCAACAATATTTAGGGAGGAGTATAGAGAAACTAACTGGCTAGCTAAACATTTAAAATTATTATGTCACTGTACGCTCATGCTCCAATCCTTGTGTTCGGTTCTCGAACATACGAAAGAACAACGAGATCTTAAGACAGAGTAACAAGATTTGACGACGGAAAACGAAATATGACGGCGAAGTAGCAGAGATTTGAATTTTAAGATTGTTGTCCGATTAATAAAAATGACCAAAATTGGTAATAACTAATTCAACATTAGTTAGTTAATCCTATGTGATTCTATGTAGCCAACCACCCTAATTCGCAGTATGGAGAAATAAGTTGACAACATACCTAATTGTTTGACAAGAGAAAAGTGAAAAAGTCAGTAGTTGCCAAAGACACTAACCCAAAATTCATTTAGGGTGCGTTTGTTGCACCGGACTGTCTCGGACTGGATTAGCTTCAGGGATTAAGCTGGACTGGCTTAGACTAGACTAAGCTGGACTAGCTTAGTGAAGCGTTTGGTGCAGTGTCGGACTAGGAAGTAGGATAATGAAAGCAATACTGTCACCAGTTTCTCTTCGTGATTATACATCGTATATTATAATTTATAAGTCATAAACCTTTGCTGCTGAACAACTTTAAAGTAATTTTCATACAGGTATCTCCAAGATAAATAAAAAACAGAGGAATTAGAATTCTCTGCTTTGAATGATTAACTCATGGAACCGTGCCATGCGAGGGAGTTTAAACCCGACGTTATGTCATTAACAACTTTCGTGTGATTATTAACCCATGAAAAAGGGAAGGCAGAATTCAAGCAAATGGGTCATTCAACAGGTTCGACTATTAAACTTTTATGGTAAAGAAATTTGAAAAGAAAACTGACAGCAGCCAAACACGGGCATATGATGCATATGCTTAGGAGTCAAGACTATGTTTCCGCCCCAGTCTCAGTAAATGAAGCATCAGTTGCAGAAGTCTGGGCTTCTAATAGCTTCGCTTTGGCGTTCTGCATGTTCTTTTTCACACCGAGTGATTCCCATTATAATGTCAAGCATGGTACCTGTTGTGCCGAAGAACACAAGCGGTGATAAAGTTTCCTTTTTATCCCCACTGGAATTGCTAACAAAGCCCCTGCTACGGAGAAAACCCAAGTGCCCATTGCGTTGCAGATAGCCATGCACAGCATCATTCAACTACACTTTAAGCTAGCAAATAAATCAGAATAAACTTAAATGGGAAAGACTGTATCTACGATGCCAAAGAGAAGTACGGCCTGTGAACCCTAAGGTGAAATTTGTCATGCTCTAATGAAGTTGAGTGATGTATTGCTGGTTTAGCCAGATTTTTATGATAAACACATAATTTCTCTCTTTCGTGTAACGGCATGGGTCAATGAGACAATTAAAACAATTAAACTGAGTAGAAACCTCTGCAGGATTGCGAACCATAAAATTATGGAAGAAGACATCATAGAAACTGTGTATGGAGTCCAATGAGTCAATAACTAATACTAACGGGAGCAAAAACATGCGTGAATCACTTGTACAAGTTTTAGTAGACAGGTCTAAACTCTCCATGATAACTAGAAGTCACTATAGTCAAATGTACAAGTATCCTGGTTTATAACAAAATCTTAAAGTTCAACACGAAATTGGTGATCTCCTAGCTCCACGGGGATTTGTTAATATCAATTTGTTTGATATTCCTTTTGATAGGTGAACTCCAATATGTATAAAATTATAATAATTAAAGTGTCCAAGATATGCACAGCTTAAGAGTATCTGAATAACGAAGAACATGCATGGTGATGTGCAACAAGCAGAACCTTCCAATAAGATAAATCCGTTGATGAAAGCTTCATAAAACGATTACTCACAAAATTTTCCAAAGAGAAGCTTCCAATATGTTAAATATTCACTAGAAAACAAGTGGCACCTTCAAGGGCTGAAGAAATGGTTTTCCTTCTAGGTCTGGAGCTGAAGAAACGGTTAAATATTCGAATACAAAGCTCGAAAAAGATCAAGTATGATCAGAACAGGTAGATACCCCGTCACTGCCAATACAATACTAGTCATCATGGACATGATACATTCCTAATCCACTACTAAGATCTCCATAAAAGGGTGAATTTCTCACACATTTCACTCGAAGAACCACAAAAATTGAAAACATCCATAAGCTGCGAATGGATTCCCAATGTCAAAATCTTAATAAGTATATCAAAAAAACAAGCTGCAGTCAGTGACCCAGTGCCGTTCTACTAAATTTGATAATTATGAATGTTGGATTATAGTTAATCACCAAAAACCCTAAAGAAACTCACAAATCCCATTGAAATGCGTAAACAAAACTGAAAGGAATGAACAAAAAGCAATTGAATTTGGAAAATTAAAAAAGTACCCATTGAAATGCAAGGCAAATGAAGCTCACCTGATCAGACCATCACCAGCGATACAGGTCCATCATCGATTGTTTATATGTTGGACGGCTACAAGGTGGAGTGACAAGGAAGGAGAAAGGAAAGGGCAAAGGTGCGAAAGGGACGAGGAGCAAGCTGCGGTGATGCGCGAAGGTGCGAAGGAGAAGGGAGATGACGGGATTAGAGGGCGGCTTAGCAATCCTCTCAGAATCGGGGGTCCTCGCGAAGACCCGTTAGCGAGGGACTCAGTCGAGGCGAGTCCCTCCTAATCCCATTAAACTTAGTCCGGGTAGGAAACAAACACAAGACTGGACTAAAACTTAGTCCAGTCCAGTCCAGTGAAAGACAGTGAGTCCAAACAAACACACCCTTATGGTTTTAATAATGGAAGACTAAATTTGCAGTTGTGGGTAGGGGTGGATTTTTTTTGTCAAATTGTTGTACCAACTGAATTACCAACTGTGCTATACCGATTTTGTGCCAAATTTTTTGTGTCAATCGGTAATGGTACGGTATTGTACCGTACCATTGGTAATGTATATCATTACCACGGTATTACCGTACCGTATCGAAAATATAATATAATATATTATATATATAAATGATATAATATATAATTATATAACACATATTTATAAATTATAATATATATTTATAATATTCTATTCTAATAATTTAAAAATAAACCCTACAGACACAAACTACTCTCTCTCGCTCCCTTGTCCTTGTAGACCTGTGGTACTGCTTCATGTTTCCGTTCTTTGTTTCGGACTTATAATTTTCAAGTAATTCCTCAACATTTCATGTGGTTGTAAATTCATTTGGGCACTTGTTAGGAGAATTTTCTTTCGTCTATACATTTGGTTTATATATCTTTGTCTTATTATAGAGGCGCATGCTGTATTACACAAAATATGAAATGTTGAACAAAGTAAAAATAGATTTTGTCCCAAAATAAAGTGGCAATTACCATTGTTATACCATGTCAACTGAACATTTGGCAATATCGAACTTTAGTATATCGAAAGTTTGGTATGGTAATGGTAATAAATTTTACCAAATCGAAAGTTTAGTACTGTAATTGGTACGAGGGTTTTGGTACGGTAACCGTACCAAACCCATCCCTAATTGTGGGAGCTTTTACGTACTAATTATATGTAATGGGGGACTCCTTTTTATTAACTTCTTCACATGCTCCTAACAATATATATCACAAGTCTTACTAAAACTTAAGAAAACTCAAACCAACCTAACAAACATTGGGTAAGGAGGTTAAGGATCGTGTCATATCCACCCAAAGCGTTCAATGTCAGCAACTTAACCAAAACACTAACCACCATGACATCGCTATGTCGATATGATGGTAGGGTAAATTCACCTAGGCCCAGCAAACGATAAAGAAAGATTTACATACATCTTGTTACATCACCGCCTTGGCATTTTAGGTCATTAATAATGCAATGTCGCGTTATTGGTCTGAAATTATAGAGTTTTTTACTTGAAGCAGTTCTCTCACCAAACACTTCATATACTTGATCAACCAGAGTTCAAAAGGCGCGAAGAAGCTTTCTTCTTTTAGTTGTGACTATGTTGTAACCGTTATTTTATATGATGCATTTTGCGTTTTGAAATTGAGTACATTTGGCAGTGATGCCAACAAGGTGTGGTATAAGTATAGTGACTGGTACTAGCTTAATTGGCAGGAAAGTCCAATATTGTTATAATGAATTAAAACATACGTACCATGTTGAGCTAAAATTGTACACAATATGTAAACAAATAATTCACTCGACATAATTTCACTCTCGTTCATTTTTGAAGAGGATTTTATTAATTCGAGTTCGACCCATTCTAGGCTACGTGCCTATTAATTACAACTCTTCCTTTGGGAAAGGAATACCCTTTGATTCTAATATGAATAAATCGTAACTTGGGGATTTGGATGTTTATTTGATTTTGTGACTACGTCTAGGTAGAGCCCTAGATTGCTTACGTACCCTCGTTGAGGGATCAAGTCACTCGTAGTTCCTTGTGTTTTGTTGGGGTTTGATGCCTTGTGTAGTTTCAGCTCGTACAGGCAAGGAGCAACTGATGTCTTGTGCAGTTTTAGCTCATGCAGACGAGGACTTTAAGCCGTTGGAGCGTTTAATACCTTGTGCAGTTTTAGCTCATGCGGGCAAGGACTTTAAACCATTGGAGCTTAATGTGGCTTCATGCCATTTGAATCTTGTTGCGGCTTCGTGCCGTTTGATATTTGTCACGGCCTCATGTCATTTGAGATTTTTCTTTGACTTCGTGCCTAGGAACTTTTCTCTTTTATTTTTTGTAGAATTTGCAATTACTTGATCAAAGTAGCAGGAGTGAATTTAGTTTATATAAATCAGGGATTCGTTTTGGTTTCATGATTGCGTCTAAAATTTGATATCAGACTGCCTACGTATCCTTAATGGAATCAAACCGGCGTAGTTCGTAAATTTTTGAGACTCATCACGGCTTTGTGCTATTTGAGATTTTGTTGCAGCTTTGTGCCATTTGATATTTGACTTTTTCTTCGGTTTTGTGCCATTTGGAACTTGACATGGCTTTGTGCCATTTGACATTTGTCATGGCTTCGTGCCATTGACACTTTTCTTCAGCATTGTGCCGTTTGAGATTTAATATGGCTTCTTGCCATTTGATTACTTCAATAATTTAAAAGGAGCTTGATACATTTTGACGTAGTGCAAACCCACTAATTTGAGATGATACATCCATCGAATTTTGTACTTTGAGATGGCTTGTGTCCACTGCAGTTGAAATGGTTTGTAATTGGTAGTTCAAAGTTGTACCTAATGGAGAAGCTACTTCCTTTTTCTCTAAGTTCCACATGGATAGTATTCCCATTTAATTTGAGGGAATTGTATTGCAACAAGTAAAAAGAATGACTAGTCATAATCATGACTGAAATTTTTTGACTTGTCTTGCTGCACATTTTTTCTTTTTTCTTTTTTATGTTCTGTGCCCATTTTCCTTCTTTAGCTTTCCTTTGTCTTGGTAACTTGTCAGTTTGTCCCATAATTTAAACGGGGGAACCATGACTTTCTTTTGTGCTCTACGTGAGTGGTTTTCTTGCTCTCAAGGAAAAGAAGACCACATCAACACTTTTTAACTTTGCTTATGATGTGACAAAAGCTTTTGGCTGGCACTCTTCTTCTCCTCTTTATGAGTTTTAAACATTTTTTTTTTGTCCTTTGTCTTCAACCTTGAATTTAGCTTTGGCCCAACATTTGACAATAGCTTGCTTCATCTTTGAGGTGCCACGTGCTTAGCGTTTTTTTTGAAAAAAAACAAGCACTTTCTTTTGAGTTTTCCACTTCCTGCATGGATTTGTCTTCATAGGGGTAAAACTAGTCTTCAAATTGAAATCCGAGCAGAAACACATAATTAAAAATGCATTTCACACATAGGCCTTGTTTGGTACGTGGGGTGGGACGGAACACTGTGGGACAAAAGTAGTTCGTTCTACTCCAGCCTGCATACCGAACGTAGCACAAAAAACCTCCTTTCCATCTCATTCCATCTTGTCTCATTCTGTCTCGTCTACGTACCAACCACGCCCATAGTGTCAACATGTTTTCACATGAAAATATTTGCGTGGCAACAAACTTGTCGCTGCAGTTGATTTAGAGCATTTACCTTGAACCCGAGATTTTGAGCTCGACCATTCCCTAGTATGGCTTGTAAAACAATCTTTATGCGTTGTGTGGGCCTTATGGACTAGGCCTATATGCCTTCACCAACTGGCCCATTTACACATTCATTGTTTTGGGCTCTTCTTGTGTTTTTGCCTTAAACCCAAACAAAGCACCGAATATCGAGAGAAGAAAATGGCGAGGAAGTCCGGAGTGGCCATGGAATCGCAGCAAGTTCTGCGCAGCGCTTCTTCATCGTCACAACCTTCCTTCCAATTCTTTCCAAACCCTGGCTTCTTCAATCCCCACCGCACCATCTTCGCCGCCCACAGCATCTCCTTCCACCTCCAAACCCTTCTCCAATTCCCTCCATCACTTCCCAAACCCTCACTTTCTCCAACTCCGACCTCTTTCCTCGCCCTCAGGTACTCCAACTTCTGTTATTGTTGTCGCCGTTGTTCAAAGTTTCAATTTTTAAATTTCGGGTTTTGGAATAGCTCAGTAACTTGAATTGTTGATTGAATTTCAGGTGCCTCTAATATTGTTGTCATTCAGTCGGAGGATGAATTTATCAGCGTAATCAGCCAAGCTAGAGGTAATTTTGTTTCCTGGGTTTTTTCCGGTTTTCGGAATTGTTTTGTTTTGAGAAAACTTGTCATATTTTCATACAAATTGTCTGATTTATATATAAAATTTCATATAGAAGGAGCTGTGCCAGCACTTTTCTATTTCAGTGCAGTCTGGTGCGGGCCTTGTAAGTTCGAAAGACGTTTTCTTTTAAGCAATGAAGTCATTGGCACGAAAATGTGGCGTAATAATGTGCCTTGAACTTATGATTGGTACTTTGGTGTGATCTTCTTGTGCGGGCAGGTTCATATCTCCAATCGTTGGAGAGTTGAGTGAGCAATACCCACAGGTAACAACGTATAAGGTTGACATCGATGAGGTGCGCATTCGCATTGGAATTTAGTCTTCTGTAAACTTGGATCATTTTGTTTTTTGGGGAACCATTTTAGTTCTTTTGTGGACTACTTAAATCCCAGCTTAAGATTAAGTTCAAAACTCAAAAGAACTCTTAAGTGTTGCTACTTATGAAATCTAGTTATCTGTTACGGGTTTTAATTCCTAAGTTAGTTTTAGCAATTATTTTACTTGTGGGCTCATAGCCATCTGGCATGGAATGGTTAGCTAGTTTAAATGTAAGTTCATTTCTTTTTATTCTGGGAGCAAGAATTTTTTCATAGTTCATACCTAACCTTGTTTATTCTATCTACAGAAGGGCCTTACAAACACTTTGGACGAGTTGAATATTTCCTCCGTGGTAAATGGTTTGCTCTTATTTTGTTTGAAGAAAATGCTCCAGTTTATTTTGTTCTCGGTATATAGCTTCTTTTATTCATGGCACTCGTGGGATGATCTTTTTAAGATGGTCTTTTGAATGGATTATTGCTGGTTCCATCTTAGTAATTCTATATGTTTTAACTTGGATATGGTAAAATCCAAGGTCCATTTGGTTTCTGATCTGATGTGTGCATTTTGGTGCAGCCTACATTCCAATTCTTTAAAGATGGGAAGACGGTGGCTGAAGTTGTTGGTGCTAATGTTGCCCACTTGAGAAACACTTTAAAAAATGCTTCAAGTAATTCTTTAGTACATTACACTACACTTGTGCGCTTTCTCATTTGTGAACGTGGTGTTTATATTAAATGCATAATAGCTTTTAATGGTTCAAGTTTCTCCAAATGTGATCAGTTCTATAGCTCAATTTTATATTAAACCCTATAGTAGGATTTCCATTTCATGTGTGTGTGTAACTAAAACTGTTGGTGTTGATGATGCTTGGAAAGTAGCTATTTAAAAACGTGGTAGTTGCATAATTCATTTGCGCTTGTGTCATTGGAGCTTACAACTAGACCAAATACAACAACAACAACAACAAAGCCTTTTCCCACTAAGTGGGGTCGGCTATATGAATCCTAGAACGCCATTGCGCTCGGTTTTGTGTCATGTCCTCCGTTAGATCCAAGTACTCAAGTCTTTTCTTAGGGTCTCTTCCAAAGTTTTCCTAGGTCTTCCTCTACCCCTTCGGCCCTGAACCTCTGTCCCGTAGTCATATTTTCGAACCGGAGCGTCAGTAGGCCTTCTTTGCACATGTCCAAACCACCGGAACCGATTTTCTCTCATATTTCCTTCAATTTTGGCTACTCCTACTTTACCTCGGATATCCTCATTCCCAATCTTATCCTTTCTCGTGTACCCATACATCCCATGAAGCATCCTCATCTCCGCTACACCCATTTTGTGTATGTGTTGATGCTTCACCGCCCAACATTATGTGCCATACAACATCGCTGGCCTTATTGCCGTCCTATAAAATTTTCCCTTGAGCTTCAGTGGCCTACGACGGTAACACAACACGCCGGATGCACTCTTACATTTCATCCATCCAGCTTGTATTCTATGGTTGAGATCTCCATCTAATTCTCCGTTCTCTTGCAAGATAGATCCTAGGTAGCGAAAACGGTCACTTTTTGTGATCTTCGCTAGATTGCTCCGGTCATTAGTGTGGATAAGTATATAAATGGATAGAGATAGGAAAGCAATCACAAGATGTACGTGGTTCACCCAGATTGGCTACGTCCACGGAATAGAGGAGTTCTCATTAATTGTGAAGGGTTTACACAAGTACATAGGTTCAAACTCTCCTTTAGTGAGTACAAGTGAATGATTTAGTACAAATGACATTAGGAAATATTGTGGGAGAATGATTTCGTAACCACGAAACTTCTAAGTACTGGAGTGTGGTATCGTCTTGACTTTCCTTATCTGTCTTATAGGTAGATGTGGCATCTTCTCTGGAAGTACTCTTCCTCCATCCAGGGGTGGTATCTGTAACTGGTGGAGATGCACAAGGTAATGTATCAATGTCACTTGAAGCTTACTTGTAGTTTCAGACTTGGTCAAGCGCGATACAAACCATGTAGTAGGAGTCCCCCAAGTCGCCGAGCTAGGGGATCTGCTGAAAGAGGTGACAGACAAGGTAAGCAATCAGAGCTCCGGCTGATTGTTCACATTCTCCCTATCTTGCAGGCAGCATGAAGGATAAAGAGAAGAAAAAAATGAGAAGAGATGATATGGGATACTTTTGCTTTTGAAGAAGTAACTTTCCACAGGCTTATTCTTGAACTGGGCTGGAGGTTTTTTCTGGTTTCCTCCAGAGATAAGGCCGACTGAAGAATTTGAGGGTCAAAACAAGTCCATCAAATCTAGAGTACGTTCGACCCTGCTGCTGATATGGGATACTTTTGCTTTTGACAGAGTAGTGGATGTATCGGCACGTGTGCTGTTACGCTTGTCTCCACATGCTTCCTTGTATCCTTCTCACTTGCCCTATTTGTTCCTCAGGCAGATGCGGGATCTTCCCTGGAAGTATAAGATGTTGAAGATGAGTACTCGAGAGCAATGCCAGGTAAGTAATCAGGTAAGGGGTTCCAGGCAGTCAGTTCCTGGCTGGAAGCTTGATTCCAAGTGCTGACTGATTGCTCTCTTTCTCCTTGTGTCTTGCAGGTAAGAACAAGGCCAAAGGAAAAGACAGGGAAAAAGCATGATATGGGATACTCTTGCTTTTAACCCTGATGATATGAGATATTCTTGCTCTAGTATAGCTTGTTTACAGAGGTATTATCGGGGGGAAAGAAAGCTGAATATTTCGAAAGGCTTCGTTGGGAGTGCCCTCTCAGATAAGAGGAAGGGTTGAGCATTTTTGCAGGTCTGCATGTCCGTTGGGGATGGAGGTCGACATATATAGAAGTCTCCCTAACATCAAGTAATAATGCTATTCCTTTACCCTACTTGGTCATAGCACGGTAGTGGGAGCTGCCAGCTTCACAAGTTTTAACTCTGTCAGAGCACTTTGAAAAAGTGGTCTGTGGTATCTGGAAATCTGATGTTGCGTGTGAAGATTACAGACAAACTTTATCCAAGGAGATCCAGCTCTTGAAGTTGGGAAAGTGGTGCCTCTTCGGTTTTCGAACAAGCAATCCTGTCGGGGATCTGACTCTCGAGATTCGGAGAACGATGCCTCTTCGATTTTTGAGAAAGCAATCCTACTGGGGGTCTGGCTCTCGAGATTTGGAGAGCGGTGTTTTCGATTTTTGAGAAAGTAATCATGTTGGGAGTCTGGCTCTCGAGATTCGGAGGGCGGTGCCTCTTCGATTTTGGAGCAAGCAATCTTGTTGGGAGTGTTTTCTCGAATGTGAGTAAAGGTTGGGCATGTTTGCTAGTCTACCTTGCCACGAAGCATAGAGGTTCACACAGGGACTTTCCAAGTATCCAGCAGTGGTACTGTTCCTTTACCCTCTCTTCGATTTTTGAGAAAGTAATCATGTTAGGAGTCTGGCTCTCGAGATTCGGAGGGCGGTGCCTCTTCGATTTTGGAGCAAGCAATCTTGTTGGGAGTGTTTTCTCGAATGTGAGTAAAGGTTGGGCATGTTTGCTAGTCTACCTTGCCACGAAGCATAGAGGTTGACACACAGGGACTTTCCAATTATCCAGCCGTGGTACTGTTCCTTTACCCTCTCTTCGATTTTTGAGAAAGTAATCATGTTGGGAGTCTGGCTCTCGAGATTCGGAGGGCGATGCCTCTTTGAATTTGGAGCAAGCAATCTTGTTGGGAGTGTTTTCTCGAATGTGAGTAAAAGTTGGGCATGTTTGCTAGTCTACCTGGCCACGAAGCACAGAGGAGCAGTGGTACTGTTCCTTTACCCTTGTGGGTAATAATATGGTAGCTAGACCTTCAACATTTATGTGTCTAAACTTTGTTAGTATTGTTTCTTTGCTAATCTTTTACCCTTCTTGGTCAGAGTGATGTAGTGGGAGCTGCAAGCTTCACGTGTCTCAACTTTGTCAGAGAACTTTGTCAGAGAACTTTGGCAGAGTTATATGTGGTACCCATGAGCTACTGTTGCGTGTGGGAAGTGAGTGATTGAACAGTACGATTCATGTGCTTTCTACTTCGCCAGAAATCTTCGACAGAATGTCCATAATTTCCGCAAAGCTGAGTGTGCGTGTGACAGGTGCTGACAGGGCTGGAAAAGTAGGTGCCTCTTCGATTTCTGAGATCGGCCCTCGTGGTCTCTGAGCAGCAGCCCAGCTTTTGAGAAAGCAAGCCTCTTCGATTTCTGAGATCGGCCTTCGTGGTCTTTGAGCAGCCCAGCTTTTGAGAAAGCACACGACTCTTCGATTTCTGAGATCGACCCTCGTGGTCTCTGAGCAGCCCAGCTTTTGAGAAAGCAAACGCCTCTTCGATTTCTGAGCAGGCGCCTCTTCGATTTCTGAAGCCTCATCGAGTGTAGATTTTTATAGGGGCTGGCATTAAGTTCCAAAGCACACTTGAATATCCACTAGTAGAAGTTCCATTCTTGCACTTCTAAGATCTTGATTTGTCCGACCTCTTCTCTCTTCAACACCTTTGAAAATGTCTGGCCCCTCCGACCGTCGTTTTGACTTGAACCTTGAAGAGGCAGCCCCGCCTTCTCCAAACAACATATGGCGCCCATCATTCGTCTCCCCTACTGGTCCTCTTACCGTTGGGGATTCCGTGATGAAGAATGATATGACCGCTGCGGTAGTGGCCAGGAACCTTCTCACTCCCAAAGATAACAGACTACTTTCCAAACGGTCTGATGAGTTGGCTGTTAAGGATTCTTTGGCTCTTAGTGTTCAGTGTGCAGGTTCTGTGTCTAATATGGCCCAACGCCTATTTGCTCGAACCCGCCAAGTTGAATCATTGGCGGCTGAAGTGATGAGTCTCAAACAGGAGATTAGAGGGCTCAAGTATGAGAATAAACAGTTGCACCGGCTCGCACATGACTATGCTACAAACATGAAGAGGAAGCTTGACCAGATGAAGGAATCTGATGGTCAGGTTTTACTTGATCATCAGAGATTTGTGGGTTTGTTCCAAAGGCATTTATTGCCTTCGTCTTCTGGGGCTGTACCGCGTAATGAAGCTCCAAATGATCAACCTCTGATGCCTCCTCCTTCTAGGGTTCTGTCCAGTACTGAGGCTCCGAATGATCCTCCTCCGGTGCCTTCTCTTTTTGGGGCTCTACCGACTGCTGAGACTTCTCCTAAGCAACCTTTGTGAAGGCTCCCTCTTGTTTGTTTATTTTGACTCAAGTATATGTACATATTTGTAACTTATCAAGGATATCAATAAATAAGCTTTCCTTCATTTCAACGTATTGTGTTAAATACACCAAAGCATTCTTCGCTAAGTTCTTTAAATTTTCTTTTGTTGTTGAAGCTTGTATGTTGAAGCTTTGTGAGTGGAGCATGTAGGTTGAGGTAGTGTTCCCTTAATTTCCCGAGTGAGGAAAACTTCTCGGTTGGAGACTTGGAAAATCCAAGTCACTGAGTGGGATCGGCTATATGAATCTTAGAACGCCATTGTGTTCTGTCCTGTGTCATGTCCTTCGTTAGATCCAAGTACTCTAAGTCTTTTCTTAGGGTCTCTTCCAAAGTTTTCCTAGGTCTTCCTCTACCCCTTCGGCCCTGAACCTCTGTCCCATAGTCGCATCTTCTAATCGGAGCGTCAGTAGGCCTTCTTTGCACATGTCCAAACCACCGTAACCGATTTTCTCTCATCTTTCCTTCAATTTCAGCTACTCCTACTTTACCCCGGAAATCCTCATTCCTAATCTTATCCTTTCACGTGTGCCCACACATCCAACGAAGCATCCTCATCTCCGCTACACCCATTTTGTGTACGTGTTGATGCTTCACCGCCCAACATTCTGT